GTGAGCTAACACCGTTCGCAAATTTGGTTTGTGAAGTTTCTTTTTGTGATAGCTCATGGAATTGTTCAACGAGTTACTCGTACATGACATGGGAGGAGTATGTAATCGAGGGCTTTGCGGACTTTACCGTTGACAGCTCAATCTTGGGCCTCCAATGAAAGGTTTCTAGTGCTAGGAGTTTTGGTAAATTCGGCTTCTTCGTCTTTGCTTTCGCACTCTCATATCGAACAACAGATTTGGAAAAGAACAACGATATCATCTTCACTTCGTCTAACTCCATTAGCGTTTGTGTTTATGTTGAGTGGGTGGACTGAAATTGTTTTTAAAATTTATGCTTCCATGAATTTTGCAGTGCTTCTTTGCCGGATCAATCTCTTTTGGAGGCAAAACATTTAATTTGGTTTAATCATAAGTTTTTGTATTTTTATTTTTAGTGATAAACGTTTTTAATAATTTCTGAAATCTGAAAATATATGATATAACGTAAAAACTTGTAATATTTACATAATTTTCAAACATTTAAATTTATTATCACAATAATTTAATACATAAACTCAACTAACGTGCTATAAAATGCTATGATAAAATTACCAAACCCCGAGTTCAAACAACACAAAGAAAATAGAACATATATCTCACAAACCTAACAAGAAAAAGGGATAACTTGGATGGTGAGATTCACACATTTGCTCGCAAGTTATCTACTCCTCCAATACCTCTCATTGCTGTTGTATATCAACCTTTCTATACAAAGCGAAGAACAATAGTATCCGCTCTGCGATTTGAAATATATTGGGAATGGACATCGACAGTGGCATACTTTGCAAATTGGTCTGGAGAGAGAATTGTTGAGAATAATCTGAACATCTACACGGCTCAGATCGCAGTCGGAATAAGAAACGCCATATTTTATCGTTTGACCAGATCTCAAGTAAATGTCTGCCCCAAGTAAGCATTCGGCATGAATAGTGGTGCAGCAGTCACTGCATTTATAAATTCGCCTTTCTACTTTTGGATTCAGGTCAGGATGTCTTCTTTCTTTATTGCGTTCACAAATCTCACACCAGTCTTGTTGATCACTTGCTTTTTTGCCATCGCAGATTATGAGAAAATGACTGTCATGCTTATACCTTACCTTGTATGGTAAGGTAGCGCAATGGAAACATATAGTATAATCGCAATCCATGCAACTTAATTCCGAATGATGTTCAATAACTTCTCTGCCGAATTGAAATTCCGAATGATGTTTAATAACTTCTTTGCAGATTTGACATCGGGTCTTTTCCTTTAGGTCCCAAGGTAGGAATAAGGGATGTTTGTGGCCTTGGAATTCAAATGGTTCGATAATCAAGGCGCACCTTAAGTCTAGTAGTATGGAAGTACGCACTGGTTCTTTTGAATGATGATAATAATAAAAGCCCCCAACGTCACGCTTACATGCACTACATTTGGTTTTACCTTCCTTACCAGCAGATGCCATATTGTCAAGTGTAAGTGGATATGGATGTAAGGGATGTCGTTTCATGCGTGGAGCATTGGCACAACTTTCATGGAGTATGAACTTGCATTCCATGCATGAATAGAACTGACCTTCGTAGACTGGAAGCGCACACCCTCGACAATACTTGTTTTTGTCATAAGCCATGAAGATCTCAAGTCGTAGATGGTGACTATGAAATGGATGGAGTATTATTCCATCAGTTATCCTCTCGAATGGCTCACCATCATCTATCCAATCATCCTCTTCTGGTACTCCATCGAGATCTTTTCCATCCCAAACATTTTTATGTAACGCACATTG